AGCCCAGGCCCAGATGTGCAAACAAAAGCGCAGCGGCACACACGTTCGTGTGAGTGCACGTGTGTGTATATATGTGAGTCTCTCTGTGTGAGTGTGTGTTTGTGTGTGTGACAGCTGTTGTTGTTTTGTAGTCTGGCAAGCGGATGTGCGAGCATTGTGTTGGCACATCCGGTTACATTATGGAACTAACACATATAAACAATACACACACACAGGCATCTAGACAGGCATACACATACAGGCACACGCACACACTCAGGCCTGTTGTGCAGTAAACTTAAATGGTGCGCCCTTATTTTTTTTGTATACCTCCCAGGCTCCCAAGCTCCAGATGGCAATGCTGCTGTGTGCTCTGCATTAAATATACTCGTTTACTCACACACACTCACACACGCACACACACATACATATACACGCCGCACTCTGGCCACTGTTCTTAAGTGTAACTACAGCCCGGGCTACACGTTGCGGCCATAACTCATGGCCCGTTTGTATATGGGCATTAGGATGCTTTTACCAGGCTAGTTATAGCTGTCACTACTCAACACAATCTATGTTTATGATGATGTACTGGGTGGCATACGAGTGTATATAAACATGGATAAAAGAGAGGAACCCAATACATTAATAATTAACATCAAAAATATGTTATTGATATTGTGAATATAGCGCGAAAGTTACTTAATATTTTTGATATATTCATATATAACTTTTTTTATATTAAATTTTATATTAATATATTTAAATATTAAAAAACACAAAAAAAAACATTATTAAAAAAAATATGTTTATAATATTGACAGAAATCAAATACAAATATTTAAAGATATGTTTTATCATTTGTAATTGCATAAAAAATTAACAAAAGTATTTAAACAGATGTTTTATAATCTTTTTAAATATTTTTCTTCATGTCAATACCTTTACTTTCATTTTACAAAGAATTTAAAATAATAATAAAAAAAATAGTGTGTAATATTACTTTGAATTACATACAATTTTTTAAAAATCAGTTTATAAATCAGTTTCATACAAGACGAACATGGTCTAAGACTTCAGATTTAATGTGGTCTAACCGAGAAAAAAAACCTTTTCAATATTTCACTCTCTGTCTCCAATATCTTTGCTGACGAGTGTAATTTAATATAACGATGTGCGCGTGTGTGTGTGCTTCTGTGTGTGTGTGTGTGTGAGTGCTGTTGAGAACACATTAAAGCCATCAGCTCGTAGCAGTTGGCTCAAGCCATCTTCTAGATGGGCAGCAGAGCGGCAGCCTTGAAGCAAACAATTTCGCAGCCCCAAAAACAATTTCACATTTCAGACATGCAGCCGCTCGGGCTTGGCACCACAACCACAAGAGCACCACAACAGCTTCCCAGCGACAAGATGAGGCGAATTTTATGGCTCTCGCTGGACACTTGGGTAAGCAGATAATTACATAAAAATGAATAATAATCTTAAATGATGCGTCGCCGTCTCTGGGGCATTGACAACAGCTTATTGACAAAATGTGTTAATGATTCTGCAAATTGAATTCTCAGTGGGCAGCACAAAGAGGTGTAACTGTGTGTATTGGTGTGCGTGTGTGTGCAGCAGGAAGTGGACGATGGCAATCACCTGCATCATGAAGATGCCGGAAGTAGTAAGAAAATGCTGTTCAAGATGAAACTGTAATCTCTCTCTCCCTCTGGGTGTCTGTATGCTTGTGTGTGTGTGTGTGTGTCGGAAGTTGCGTTTGATAGGGCACGGAAGTGTCTGGCATGACGCACCACAGCGCTCCTGTTGCCCTTCTCCTGTGGCGCATTTAGGTAGCTGAGGGTGGAGTAATTGACCGCTAAGCCAATGGACAATGAGTCGCGTTAAGTGCAGGCAAAGCAAAGACGCTAAAAAAGAGGATACAAAAAGAGAGTGAAAGAGAGGGAGAGGGAGAGAGAGAGAGGGAGAGAGGGGGAGGACAACGTTATTAGTTGGCGAGCACTAAGACAAATAGCGCATATAAATAAGCCACTCGCTGACATGGCGGACGATGCAGCGCCAGTGGAGCAGCTGAGCTGAGCTCGCTCCACGGGCCGGCCTGGCAAAGTAAATAGAAATGTAATAATGAGATAAGAACAATAAGCGCCATGTCTGAGCCGAGATATGGCTAGAGCTGAAGAGCTGCAGAGCCAGAGAGCTGAGGAACAGCTGCAGCTGAGACGGCTTTGGCTCATGTCCAGAGTGTGTGTGCTCGTTGGTCATATTGATGTCTCGCCTGCTGGAGCGTGATTATGAGCAGCCCAAACGTATTAGGGCCAAGCTGATTGGCTCACCCGACTGCCGGACGATAAACCACTAAGAATTTCGCTATTTGTTTGCCTCGAACGGCTATCGACATGAGGGGGGCAGCAGCAGCTGCGTGATGTATTGAACGGACATATGGATAAGCATAAGCTGTGCGGGCCAACAGATGCCCCATTGCCCATTGTTAGATTAATCTACGCCAACAATGGCCTGCCCAGATAAGCGCCAAGCCAATCTTAAGAGCTAAGACAATCACTCCATATGGGCCGAGAAAGTGGATAGAGTGAGTGATGGAGTGAGTGCGTGGCAATATCAACTTAAGCCCCAATAATTGTTCACAATATTGTTTTATGCGTTTGGATTAGTGTAATCTAAATTATTTGCTCTCGAGACTGTTGGATTATCTTAATGCAATTATTTATTTATTTATTTGGCTGTCTGGATGAGCTAATCAGTGAGCTACTCGCTAATCTCATCAGCAATTGCGGTAACATATCTGGATTTGGGTTAATAATCTGTCCGGAATCTCTGGATATATCCTGCTCAGGTTGGATAATAAGTTCTGAAAGTTTTGTGCTTTGCCATCAGGCTGATTAACGTCCGGCAAATGCATTCAGAAAGGAGCAGCTGCTCTTGTCTCAACCACTGCTGATGGGTGGGTGGGCTGTCGTGTGGTAGCAGCGGATACACACAGCGGGTCGCAGACGCAGTTGGGTCCGGCTATGTGGCAGTCAGAAGTAGCCAAGGTTATCCACACCGAGCTGAACGCTTTGCCATTGCCTTATTTCAAGTGATGCATCCTGCGCTGTGTGTGTGTGTGTTTGTGTGGGAGTTGCTCTTTAAGCTTGGCAATCATCGATGCGGCGATTGTCGATGCTTGCTGCGCCAGCTGCCACGCGCAACGCATATCCGGAGTTTGTCTGCGGCAAGCAGCCTGAGCAGGAGGCAAAAGAGTCAGCAGCGTCGTCGTTCCTAATGCGGAATTGCGAATGCAACAGACAGCAGCGGCACACACACACACACACAGACATTCTTCACAAGCGTCGTCATTATAAATTGAAAGACATTCGCCGAGTCCAGCCCAAAGCCGAGGGGCGGCAGAGGGCAGCTGCTGCAGCATTCCTGTCTGCGCCCAGCCTGATGCCTTTTACCTAACTGCATCCGGCGCAACGTTTGCTCCGACAGCCAGCTGATGCTGTTGCTGTTGCTGTTGCTGTTGCCGCTGTAACATGTGTCGCTTCAAGGAAATTGAATTTTTATTAAAGGAAAACATTTTTATTGTGGATTATTTTCGTTTTTCCTCTTCGAACCGTGGCAGTGGGCGTCGTCGATCCAGCGCGCGGCTACTGCAGATTGAAATTTCAGCATCCGCTGCTGGTTTAGCTCAATTGAATTATATCGAAGTCAAAAGCAACGAACTTTAACAGTCAAGTATATCTAATTAAATTATTGTAAAAGAGCCAAGTTTAAATTTCCAGCTCAACATTTTTATAGTTTGAAGCGAATTTTATATGGCGGACATGCTTGCTCGTTCGTTTCGATTTTCCACATGCGCGCTTGATTTTGCTTTCGAAATTCTCTTTTCCTGCTGCTTGCTCGTCTTTTTTCCATGCTCTTCCCTTAGCTGTTTACACGGCTTTCAATTGAAAATTCAAGCTCAAGTTGTGCACAATTTGGCTTACGGCCACGCCCCGCTGTCCCATGCATCTGGCCGCTGGATTTGCTGGCTTTAAAATTATAGTTGGTTAGATTGGCGAGGCCATGTATGGCTGGCTGCATAAGACTGCAGCTCAGCTCTGATTTCTGTTCGACTGCTCGTAAAAAGTCTGTAGGTTAAATGTTGAACCCTTGCTGGCGACGACAATGGAACGCATTGAGTCATAAAATTTATAAAAGCATTTGCAATAAGCATTGCCAAAAGTATCCACAATTCTGCACTTAAAATGTTTGCACACACACAAAAAAAAAGAAAATAGTATATATATCAATCTATATATATATATAGAGAGAAAGAGAGAGAGAGAGAGAGGAAGCACTTCTCGTTGCCCCTTGCCCCAGGTTGGGTTAACAGATATACTACATAAAATTTGCTAGCAAGTACTTACCATTTTATTGATTTTTAGTGCTTGCTTCGGTCTGCTGCTGTGGCCTGGACACTGCCTGATTCCTGCTGCTGCCTCTGCTGCTGCTGCTGCTGCTGCTGCTGCTGCTGTGGCATATCTGCAATGGAGCAAAATATTTTACCATTAAATTTGGTTGTATTTTATTTGTAGTTATTTGCATTGTAAGAGTTTCATTTCGGGCAAAACGAATGTTGATTCAGCCATTCGATCCACTCTTGAAATTTAGTAAATATTTATTCAATTGTTGAATACAAGTTTTGTGCTTAGCTGCAGCTAGGATATATCTATAAAATATACAAATTGAAGTAAAGCTTTGATTGAAACGCTAGACTTCACTCAGCTCACAAATCTATAGATGATTGCTGTAATTATATTTATATAATATGACTGTAATTTTCTAGCTTCTGAATTGCAAAGTTGCATATGAGAAAATTAAACAAAGCCTAACTAACTAAGCTAGCTAATCTATAGTTAATTGCTTCACTTCACTTAGAACTCTAAATGCCAAATATAATTTTCTCTAGCGCAAGCTCAATAATTAACTAAATAATAATTACCAGTGCGAATAACTCACTCCCAGCTGATGTCATTTGCAAATTTACACGAAGAATTATGAAAAAAAAGAGTTAAAATAATAAAAAATTGAAAAATGAAAACATGCAAACTGCAAATTTGCAAGTCAAAAGAGGTTTAACCTTTGAGCGCAAAATACTGAAAAGGAAGAGGTAGAAATATGTATATGAAACAATGCATGTAACGGATATGAAAAGAAAAAAGAAAAGGACAGGAGAGAAAGAAAAAAGCGCTGGGCACTATGGGCAGGCTGGAAAGGAGAAAACAAAAGTGAAATACAAGAAAATGCCTGTAGTTGCAGTTGTCGGGCCATGGGGCCCAAGGATGCCAGGACAAAGGACAAAGGCAACTTTGCACTTTTGTTTGTCGTCACGTGCACTCAATAAACTTTGAACAAATTTGCATTTGCTGCTACACACACACGGGCAGGGAGCGAGGGCTAGAACAGAAAAAAAAGCAGACTCTGCGCTGGCAACGCGTCGAGACGCATCGAATTTCAGTTGTCGTCCGCAAGCGGAAACAAAGTTAAGCACACAAGGTCCACTTCCTGTTTTTGTTTGTCGCACAGCTCGAATCAGCTCGATTGAGCTCGCTTTGCAACGGCTTTCTGCCACAGATTGCAACGGGTTTTGTGTTTCACCTGGCATTCGGTTACCTTTTATTTCATTTTTTTGCTTTCAAGATATCTAGCAGCTAGTGCTTAAGTTCTTAAAGCAGACAACTTTTCAATGCAATCAAATTGAAAGCTGTAAATGAGATGCAAATCGAAGCAGCGGCCAATGCGTTCGACAGCGTAATGAAGATGCTGCCAAGCTCAGTTGGCACCAGGCAAGGTCCTGGCCGTTGCCTGCCGAGGAAATAAGTAAACAACAAAGTGTGCAGGTAACCGCACAAATGCTGGCAACAAACCTGGCCCAGCCGGATGCTAGATTGGATGCCGAAGGGGCGTGCATCCCCAGACACAAAACGCATCAACAACCGACACAAACAGCAACAGTGGCAGCAGTGGCTGTGGCAGCCACGCTGGGCGCATAATCAACAATGGGCGTGGCATGCTGCAGCTGCAAACGAAAGCGAGAAAATGACTTTTCTTCTTTTTCCAGCAATTTTGTTGCTACTTGCAATTTATGCAAAAGTCAAATGTTGATTTGTGGGGCCGCAGCTTCCAGCTACTACCAAGACGAAAACCAGAGGGAGGGGGAGGGGAGCAGCAGCAGCAGCAGGAGTAGCAGTCGTAGCAGCCACAGGTCTCCGACCAGCAGCAATATATTGATTTAGTGAGCTCTGTGCTAGGGTGCCAAGGTACATTTGCATTGCCTGCCGTTTCGTCCCATACCCTCTGGTCGCAGCAGAACACATTAAGGACTCCTGCTTGGAGGCCAGCGACTAGCTCTGCAGAATATCTGCTGGCTGAGTATGTTCCATTGTTGGACCTGGCTGCCTGCTGCTATTTAAAACTCGCCTCGATGTTTGCATTTTAGGATTGAAGTCGAAGAACGACTCGTTCGCCATTTGCATAATAATTGGCCTCATGAATGCGAACAACGAAGGCGGGGGGGCAGCAAGTGCTTGGCTGGCAGTTGGTGTAATAGTTGTTGCTGTTGCTGTTGTGGTTGCTGTGGTTGGCTAAAAAGGGCAAACAATTTGTGGAATAGCTATTGATGTATATTGATCAGAGGCATCATCAGCCGAGTGCCAGCCTGATTGCTTATCTAGCTGAAATGCAATTTGCACTTATCCTGAGCAGAGTCGACTTTGGCCTCGTCCTCTGCAGCAATGCCAACTCGATGGGTATCTGCGGCTGGGCGTTTCGCTCGCTAATCTGCCAGTCATGGCAAGTTCTTCAGCTGCTTTATTAGCATTTGGTGTCAGCTATTAATAATGTTGCCACGATGAGAGGACGACAAATCTGCTGAAGCCTGAAATTAGGGCCAGTTATATAATCCCGCCCCCAGGCCTAAGTTCTGGCCTCACACTGTATAGCCTGACGCGCCCACGCCCACGCCCACGCGCACGCCCTAGCCCACCCCACCTGGGGCACAGAATTAAATCGCCACTCTTTGGCAAAATGATGTATTTGCCCATCGCCGTCGCAATTTGAATCCTTGGCTCGCAGCTGCCCAACAGCCGGAGCTGGAACCCGAGGCAGGCCCGACCCGAACCCGGCTCAAGTTGATCGAAAAGTTACTTTTACCTTTGGCTGTTGCCTTTTGCATTTGCCAAGGGTTTCAATTTAATAACAAATACCGCCTGCTGCCAGCTGAGCGCAGCAATGAAACCGGGTTCATGGGCTCCCCGGCAAATGGAGCCGGGCACGTTTTCCACTCTGGCTTCATTTTCTTTACCCTTTTTAAGTTTTGCATACTCATATACATGAATGAATGTGTTGCCTTTTTTTCCAGCGACAAGCAAATATTTGGGCATACTTCATGTATCGGGTATTAAGGGTTTCTGTTTGGAGTGAGTTGGGAACATTTTTAATTGCCAAAACGATATGGGGTACAATAATTTAAATGAACTCGTATAGAGTGTTATTTTTGTTTT